TGACATAATCGTCGTAAGGTCGACGCGAAGGCGTTCAAGTGCCGCTTCATGGGCTACTGAGATGGTGTCAACGAAATCCGTGTCCAGAATGTTGAGACGGGGAAGTTGCAAGTCGTGCGCACTGTGAAGGTCGTTAAAACGACAAGTCCAGGGCACCTAATAACGCATTGTGATGAAGATGAAGACCAAGACGGTTCTTCCGTGCCAACGCTGAATGATCCGCGACCTAAGGACGCGAAACAGATTGTACCGTTTGAATTGAATATGGTGACGCGATCACACTACAACGTGACGTGAACGTAAGCTGCTGGATCGTGCTGTATATTCCCACCCATCTCAGGCTAATGCGGACCGCACACGTCACATTGACGAAACGACGGATCCTGATGAGGCAAGGGAAACTAAGCAACAAGTGGTGGTGTCATACGACGCTGGCACGAAGCGCCAGAAGATGACTCAAGAGCGCCCGAATGTTAATAACTAGCAGCTTGCATCTACGAAGGAAGCAATCACGGCTACCACCGAAGTACCTATCTCTTATGCCGAAGCAACTTCCGGTGCTGTTAGTGACGAGTGGAGGAAAGCGATCGCAAGCAAGTTGGAGTCGCGCGTTGCAAACAAGACCTGAAAGCTGGTGCTAAGACGAGTACACCAGCGACCAGTCGGTTGTCGTTGGGTATTCGCGTTGGAGGAAGACAAGAAGGGCAAGTGATTTGTCACAAGGCTCGCCTCGTAGCAAAGGGGTTCTCGCAGATGCACGGCATCGACTATAAAGAGATGAACGCGCCGGTGGTCTACCTGAATTCAATTTGGGCCAAGATGGCAAAGTGCGTTGCTGACGGTTTTGAGATCGAGTCGTGCAACGTCGTCACGGAATTCCTGTATGAAAAACGCAATGAGGAGATCTACATGGAGCTGCCTGAATGACGGCAAGAGCTACTCACTTTGGCGAAGGCTGAAGGCGAGAGCGACGTCGTGTGTCTGCGACTTCAGAGTCTCTACGGGCCCAAGCAAGCCTCTTGTGTGTGGAACGAAGCAATCGACAGTCAGCCAAGAACATGTGGTCCAAGGCGGTCGACGCTGACCCATATGATTACACGATAGGTAAAGGAGATGACGAATGTATAGTACGTCTCTTCGTCGAGGACATGTTTATTGCTGAGAATGACAAGGCAAGCATCGCTTCGGTGAAGTCAGGAATCGCAGAGAAGCTCAATATCAAGGACATCGGACGTGCACGGTTCATTCTAGGGTTCCAGATGATCGACTACAATATGGAGTACAAGACCCTACAAATCAGCCAACAAGCGTATACAGAGCTGATCATAATGAAGTTTGGGCAGGACGACGCTAATTTGTTTTTACTCCACTGATAGCTGGGGTTCATTTGACCAAGACTGATAAACACCGAAAGTGAAGACGACATGGCTAAGTTGCGATCCAAGCCGTACCGTTTGCTCGTGTGGAGCCTGATGTACCTGGCATGTGGTACACGACCCGACATTTATATTGCTGTTTCTTCGCTGAGTCGCTTCTTGGAGGGTTCCGGACATAATCACTGGGATGCGGGGATCAGAGTGGTGCGCTTAATACTCACGATCAAGGATGTTGGTATCATATTCAACGAACGCCAAGGAACAGAGCTCGCCGCTTATTCGGATGCGGATTGGACCGAAAACCGTGACAACAGATACTACGTCATGCACATGATGTGTGGTACCCTCGTGGTATGGCGATCCAATTTTCAGAAGACCGTCGCTTGGAGTTGGACTGAGGCAGAGCACATGCAGCTCAGCAGCTGCATAAGTGAGGTGGTGTGGTTGCGACTTCTGCTTAAGGATAACAGAGGAACGGTGATCTACGAGGCCAGCCGAGAAGCTATGACATTGGCGAAGAACACTGGCTACCATGCTCGCATCAAGCAGATCGATATTCGCTACCATTTATTTGCGAGCAGGTTGGAAATGGTGAAGTTGAGATGGAGTACATTGACACCAGGAACCAGCTCGCGAATTACCTCACGCAGGGGTTGTCGACTAAGATGCAGCGCTACCTAATGGAACGAAGCAGCGTCGGAGCCATGCTCAAGGCAGCAAAATGCATGGGGGTGTTGTGGCTGCACTTCGCTGTCTACTGCGATGGGTATCTATTGCGAGGCTCGTGCCGGACGCGTGTTGCAGTTGACATTTTGTGAATGGTGCGACCTGATTGGCAGATCATCTGGTAAATTGGATTGTGATTGGGCGACGACTTCAATTTGTCCTATTATGGGATCTTCCGCGGGAGGACAATCGTGACGTGTAGCATTCCCGCTGCATACAGTGTTGTCGTCCTTCTCAGGCGTTTCCGTCCCAGTGTGCGGTTTAATATGCATGATTGTAAACAAGGGTGAGTTATGTTTTGAGCAGCCATTTGCCTGTGATAAAGCACCTACAGTGCTCTACTAGCACAAATGTTTGTTGTCACTATTAACAGCCGGCTAATACGAATATAAGGTAATACATGCTCTAAACCCCCCTAAAATAGTACCCCTGTTTGGGGTGGGAAACTAATGCAACTCCCCAAGGGCACAATTAAAGGGGCTCTATTTTCGGGTGGGGCACAAATCAATGTTAGGTCAAGTGAGTCGTGTTAGTATCAAAGTTTTGCCGGATCTTTCCTACTTAAAGGTCGTCGATGATTAGCTCTCATTCGTCGAAAAGGCTTTTTCTTCGTCTTGGTTAGAATGCGTTTCAGCAACCTTGTTACCAGTACCGCAGTGCAGTGAGCCGAGGAAATCTGATAATTTCCATTTTTTTAGGGAGGGGCCCAGCTTGTTCGAAATTTTGGATTGGGGATAATTAAGCACAATTATTTGTTTTAACGTACAGTACTGCATCCCGTTTAAGCGGGGGTGGGACATATAGGATTTGCACATAAATTAGATTTAAACTTTCAAATCATCGATCTTTCAGATTCAAGATTATCACATCCGGAAGTTTATCAAAGGGTGCAGAGCTGTAGTCCGGAAAAGCGTGACATTTTTGGGGTACTGGTTTCTCAGAAAGTAGGCGAGATGGGACCTACGATTAATTCGCTCAGACAATCCTCTTTGGATTGGGTGCCTCTTTTTATAACTATCCAGAGGAAACACTATCAGGAGCTATATCTTAACTGAGTATCAGGAAGCCGGTGCAGCCCACGAAACGTTTGAGAGCAGGAAATAGTTAGCAGCCACGACGCAGTACTAAAAAAAAACATGAACCCAAAAGAGAGAGCTCTTAACTACTAAGCAGCGTGTGCCACGGGTGAGCAGGGAACCACGAAGCCAGGAAGATCACGGAAGAGCGCCGGCCACTGTAGAACATGAGATCTAACCTGTAGTACGGGGTAACGGAAGCGTTCCAAACCACGATATTATACGGGGCCGAATGAGACTACGGAAAGGCAAGTGGTTAAATACACGATGCCAAGATCTACGGGGTGAACCACGCTCTCAAAACACGCGACACCAAGAAGCACTTAAATTTGCGGCCACCTCATCTCCAACAAACCATGCCACTCCGCCGCGTAGCGGCGGCGAACGGCTAGTCTTAAACATCTACTGCAGCAACCTGTCTGTCCGTCACACTAAATTGTCGTGCCTGTCACGCTTTTCCGGACAAATCATTGGATAAAATAATTTAAATATTTCTACTGGCTGCCGAGCGCAGCGAAGGTGGCCCCGATTGGCCTAAAAGCTGCCGAGCGCAGCGAGGCGGCCCAAATCGGCACCTTCTGCAACCCTGCGGGCCTTTGGGCCCGCCTGAGCCAAATCTACCAGCCTACCGTGCGAGTAGTGAAGCGAGCCCGTGGCGAGCGGAACGGAGGCAAAATACAAGGAACGACATTCATTCTTTCCCGCCGCGTAGCGGCGGCACTCGGCTAGTCATTACAAGGGTACCATCGCCTTTATGGCTACTACAGTACCTATTTTATTAGATTGCTTTCAATGGACTATGATGTCACGGCTACAAAGCTATTCAGCGTGAGTATGCTTACATGGAGCGTGGGGTCTTGAAATTTGTAATACCCACAACCGTTTGCAAGCTGCTGGAAGCACACGGGTCTTCAAGACTACTGTATCATAGTTGTGAACGTCCTCAAGTCTTGTGCCCTCAGGGCATCATCACAGATAAGCTTGCCGTGATGATGTCGCGCTTGCACAGAAAAGACCTGATGTCCATTTAAGAGCTGCTAAACACGCCGCGAGGACGTAGTCCGAGACGAACCCACTGAATTGGGTCGCAAGCGGATTTAAATGTCGTTGCTGGACCGGACGAAAATCACCAAACGAACATTATTTTTATTTACCGAAATTCCTTTCTCAAAGGGCGCACTGATTACTACCTTAATAAGTAAATGACAATAGAGGAGGCAGTGATTTGAAATACAGGAACATAGGAGGTACATGCATTAAAGTTCAATTTACCGGTACACCAAATTCATTCTACCATATACAGTACCTTGTATCGACAGCATTAGACTCAGTAGCCCTACTGCATGTAGAACAACATCTGAAGGCGTCAAGTAGTAGTTTCTCTCGTACTTTAATAGTTAGTTTATCTCCAAATATTCAGGCTCCGAATTGTACAACTACTGTACGAAAACACATTCACGATGTTCACATTTTATAGCACCACGTTTTTGGTGGTGCTGAAAAGGCAGCTACAGTACCTCCACTCACATGATGCAAGTCTCGTAGCTAGCCGGATGCTAGTAGCTGACATCCAGTTTCATCTTGTTTTCACTAAGGAAACCACTTTTCAACATCAAGATTTGTGATTGTAGCTGTAACTGGTTGCTTACAAACACCAAGTGAATGAATAATTTGCCAGTAACCCAGAATCTGAAGAGCCGGTAGATCAGCGTTCCTGCAAGTGTGCCCTTTGAGAAAGGATTATCCTGATCTCGGATTTCTGTGGTTTCATTGGCTAACACTCCTTTCTTGAGATTGGGTAGGTGTGCTCTTTGAGATAGGAATGTCGGTAAGGACCTTACGAAAGATAATCGTCAATTTTGTACATGACTAAGCTCAATCTGGAGGCTTGTTTGGCAAATAATGCTTGCTGACGGTCAGCGGGAGACTACCGGTTTCGGATAAATGGTACAGACTGTAGTATCGGTATTTGGAATATGTACCACTCCAAACAGGATTAAATGCAGGTATAATATTATCCCCTCGGCAGGAGAAAACATTTGTTGCACATGTTGTTCACTTTCCAGTTACGGACAGTACATACGCCGTACAGTACTGTACAAGATCATTGATCTCGTACGAATCGCAGCTTGATCTCAGATCAAGCCTCACACCATCTCGATGTTGATCATGTCTTGCTGCTGTCCACACGAAGTCGCTGTTCTTTTAGAATGTATTTACATGTATGTTTTATGTTATTAAATAAATAAATATGTTTGATGTATAAATTTCGCATCAATTTCGAGGTGCATTCACGCGTAGAAACTTGCGTCATTTTACAATCGGCTCCTGGACGTGCAAGACCTCAACAAGAACTCCACTGGTTCAAACCTAGAAATGCGTTTCGGTCAGTTGCCTGCGCTGGCTGTCGTTGCTCTCATTCTGTGCTGCAGCGCCGTCGTGACCGCTGATAGTACGGCTCAGGATCTGAAGTTGGCCAGCGCCAAACCTGGTGCCATCTATGGAGGTCACCGCTATCTCAAAGGCAGCAAGACATCTACTGGGTTGGATGCAGCGAACGAAGAAAGAGTTGGCGCGACTACTCCCAGTTTTAAGCAATACTTGAGCTGAATAAAATTACCCAAGCTGTCAGGCATTCCCGGGTTTAAGCAGCTCAGAGGTTACTTGGTTAAGCGCGATGCCGCTCGCGTTGAGAAGCTAAGGCAGAAACTCAACAACAATCCCGGGGCGTACGGCTATTAATCAAGCTTGCGAATGCACAAAGGCGTGGTTCTGCTCTGTTCTGTTTTCTGTCTTTGATATTTTCTGAAGAACGCGCTAAAGTAGGGAGCGAATATTCGGAAATGCGTGGTGGTAAATGCTGGTAAGGCTGTACCGTGTTGAGAACCATCGTGGTGCATTTACCTCAGGCTTGCTACATCTCTATGGTTTACTGGTGGCAGGGGAAATCATGCCACCTACTGGGTGGCACGGAGGCTCTACAGAAGTACCGGTAAGTATACCATGACAAGCCGTAGCTCCCTGCGCTCACCGTTCGAACATGCATTACCATTTTTTTCAAACAGATAGTGTGCTATTATAATATGAATTTTATAACGTAGAATATGTACTTCGCATTAAAACGCATTGTACATGTACACTGTCCTGGACCCACATTTACTACCTCCGTTCGACCATTTGTTTTGTTTTTTGCGCAGCGCTCCGCCTCGTTCATTTAAGCGTTAATTAATTTGTGAGAGGCTGGCTAGCTAGCTTTATGACCGAGAGCTGACAGTGAGAAACTAAGCAAGGCACAGGCGTTCATGCTCCGCCGTGCAACTACAGATACAAAAACGGATCTAAGACGGCAACTACATCGCCACATTCTGAAGGGGCGCTCAGTGGGGCTTCTGGAACTTTAGCGGTAGGCGGTGGGGGGCTGCTCGCTGCAAGAAGCAGCATGTACGCGTTAGCATTGGCGAGTGAGATAGCGTCACAAGGCAGTGACTTAGGGAGAGTGCCAGCACGTACTTGCTTGTCCTTGTGCCGGAGGCGCGCAAACTTGTGCGTGGGTGTAAGTAGTGGACGGGTCTGTCTGAGCGCACGCCGTATGTAGCCTTCCTTGATCAGCTGCTGAACCAGGTAGCAGCTCATGTTGGACGCGCGCTGAAGCAGACGCTGGTTTTCGCGCTCATTGACAGGAACTGCAGCGATTCTCTCGCACAGCTCAGCTCGATCCACCTTCTTCCTACCACATGCGCTCTTCCTTGACTTGACCACGGCTGCTACTCGATCTCCCATCGAATTGATTCCACGCCTCCAAATTCGTTCGACAACTTGGCGGCCCACACGGAAGTACGCTGCAACCCGAACGATCTCTCCATGTTTGACCACTTCTCTCACGCTGC